CCCTCAAAAGAGCCGAATAATTTAAAATAAATAAATAAAAGAATTGATAGAGTCTGTTGCACTTTATTGTTGTTACGACTTATGAGGTCTAACAACAGTCACTCCAGGCATTTTTGCGAAAGTAGGAGATGATAATAGAATTTGGAAGACTTTCCATTAAAAACATATATCCATGCTGCATTTCTTCTAAGTTTGGTAGGTGATCCGTGCAACTATTCCCTGTTTAAACGTATGGAGTATTTCATTATTGAGCCTCAGGATCAAGAGGCGACAATCTTCAAGTAATGCTCTATTAAAATTTTATTATATATCTACATCTTTTAATAAGTAAATGGCCTCAATTGAATCCGTCTCTAACACAAATTTTATCCAGCCTTTGTCGTTAATTCGTGATAAGCATCTTTTTTTTTTCTTGATTACAAACATGTGATAGATGTAACATACAAGCAATTATAGGGACGGATCCAAAACCGAATTACAAGCCGGGATAATACGTAAAAATAAATAAATAAATTACACATGATTTTGTTTTTTTTACATAATTTTTTTTTCTAACTAAAAAAAATCAGTGTGCATTGAATAGATGGCAAGTCTAATATTCACGCATTGATAACGCTTAATCACTCTTTTTAGAATACTGATTTTATCATCGTAGAACCTAAATTCTATACACCCTAAAATTCTTAAATAATATAAGTTTTAAGAAGCAATAAAAAAATGGACTTTGCTACATATATATCAATTTTTACATAATGGGTTACATAATGTCACATCTCACTCTATCATTTGTCAGTTTAAAACATAGTCAACTTTTTCATCTAATATTTTCTCTTCATGTCATTTTATATAATTCATTATGTGCCATTTTATATTAATTTTATGTAGCATGAGACCTATGGGGCTAGATCTTGGCCACAATCGATGCAAGTCAATAAAATTGTTTATTAAATTAAGAAAAAAAATAATTATTCTTGATTGATTGAATTTTGGCACACTTGACCATACTTTTTTTAATTAGAGACAGCAGAATCCAACTTATCACCCCCAAAAAAGCAAAGCGAACTTATTTTATAAGCCCAGTGTGCATTGAAACTTGAACAACTTTTCCATTTCGGTTTAATTATTACAAAGTTGTACTAAAAATATTTGGCGAGGATATGTCATTTCATAACGTGAATTAGACAGCATTATATCAAATAAAGAAATATTTAAAATTATGCTAATGAATACGATTCTAAACTTCTTTTATATATTAAAATTATTTAGTGTCGTTATACATATCTAATCAAACATGTCATTATTATATGTATCGTTCAATAAATCTAATCAAACACATCATTATTATATATAATCTATATAGTACTAAATATACTGGTCCAAATGAATGTCATCATACGTTGTTCCATTCTAAAATCAGTTGCTCATTTTCTCCCTTGCTTCTTTCGTAACCAAAAATCAAGAAAGAAAATAGAAGTGCATTATTTAAGTACCATATAGACATCTTGAATTGAGGTGTTTTCACTTTTGTTTTCATATCATGGAAGTTTTTATTAAATAATACCAAGTTGCAAACGATTCTTACTAGGTTTCGAATTCCACCATGCCTCTTCCAAGCAGGGGCGAATCCGGGGGGTCCTGGGGGCACGTCCTCCCCCTCCCCCAACTTTTGAGTTTTTTTTTTTAATATAAAGTCATGTTTGATATCTATTGAAATATAAATTTTAATTTAAATCAAAGTTAACAATTAATTTTAATAACATATTTTATGGAATCCATAACTATTTAACTTTTATCAAAATTTATTAAAAATTTGATTTTAATCTCCATCAAATATGGGCAAAATCACA